CATGGTTGGCCTACCGGGGGTTGAAAAGCTCAATAAATCACGTGCCGGCGGGTGTCACACATTGATGGTTGTGATGCATATTTTGAGTGCCAGGGAGCCACAGCAGAGGGGGTGAAAGAGCCACATGTGGCTCCAGAGCCGCAGGTTGCTGACCCCTGATTTAGGATGTTATTTTGTTTTTGTCTTGTCACCAAGTTATTTCTTCTAAATTTTCATACTTATGATTATTATTAGATTTTTACCTCATCTTTTAATATAGTTTGGGAAACTCAAGGTGGTGAACACATGCACTTTTATTTTACCACAACAAGCACCTTGTGAGGTATGCAGGGCTGAGAGAGAGAGTGACTGACCCAAACTCACCCAGTTGGCTTTCATATTTAAGGGATGCCTAGAATTTACAGTCTTCTGGTTTCTAAACTGGCACTTTAACCACTAGACCAAATTGGCTCTCAGCATTCCTGTATCACTTAATTAATTAATTAATTAATTTATGTATTGGTTCGATTTATATGCCGCCCTTCTCCGGAGACTCAGGGTGGCTTACAATGCGTCAAGCAGTAGTCTTCATACTTTTGTATATATAGTAGGGCTTTCGGCCCGCCCTAAGTAGTGTTCTTTTTTTTTACAAAGTCAGCTTATTGCCCCCACAGTCTGGGTCCTCATTTAACCTACCTCAGAAGGATGGAAGGCTGAGTCAACCTTGAGCCTGGTGAGATTTGAACTCGCAATAATTGCAGGCAGCTGGCAGCTAAATGCTACTTAACAGCACTTAGTCCGCTGCGCCACCAAAGCTCCTTATAATTATATCAAATACGACTGTATATAGAAAAATGTTCACCCAATTTATAATCTCTTCACACTGCTCAGAAGTCTCGGATGGTTAATATGTGAATTTTCTTCAGGAAAAGAAGCAATGAATTCAAAACAAGCTTTATTACTGAGCAAAAAAAAGATGCCAGCACAGCTGATATTTTTTTTCCCCTTCTGGGTCTTTCCAGCCAGCCATTTATTGTACAGAGTTGTTCTGTGAGTGAGAAGAGTGGTTTCTAAATTTGATATATGAATAAAAATAAAATAAAATAAATAAATCTTTCACAGCAATGCACAGCTCATAGAAGACAATTAAGTTTATGGTCAATCTTTGAGTTACATTTTGTCTCGTTAGATACCTGAATTGCATCTACATGTACCATTTTGACATAGCCTACAAAGAAAGTTTTCATTGTTTTGTTTTTTTTAATGTAGTGGTAGTGCCAAATTAATCCAGATTTTTCTTCCAGGAAATCCAAATTGTGCATTGAAAACAAATGACACAAGTTAAGTATATTGGCATGCATCCCCTGATTTTAGTTTATCTGGCTTACAGAATGTGAAGCACCAAAGATTTCTGAAGGAAGGCCAACAACAGAATAGGCAAGAAAGGAGACAAATGGAGAAAGGGACAAAAGTGATGTAGAATATATTCTGTCGTGCAACACTGTACTCTAAGTAGCACAGAATAGGATAAAGATCTAAACAAATCTAATCACGAGACTTATATAAAGAAATAATAAAAAAGTAAAACTTCCCTGATGTCCAAATCATGGAGCCTACATAAAAATGATGTTTAGTTTTGTTGGTAACAATCTAAAGAGTTTTTTCTTCTTCTTTTGCTAACGGCTTCTTCCAAGACTTTTATTCCCCAGTCTAATCTATAGTAAGGAGGATGTCCTAATGGTCTCCCATTAGATCAGATTTGAAATCCTCCAAGGTTTGCCACCGGTTTGCTACGTGCGTATGCGTGGTGTGCGCCAAATACACGCTTCGCGTGGAAAAAGGAGGCTTAAGAAGGTAAGTAGAACAGTGAGAGGGGGAACAGCTGTGCCGCAAGATTTAGATTCACTAGAAAGCAAGATTTCCTGCTTTCTAGTGAATATAAATTGCGCGGCACAGCTGATCGTTGGAAATACCGGTTCAGACGAACTGGTAGCATTTTTTTTTTTACTACCGGTTTGCCTGAACTGGTGTGAACTGTGTGCTGTTCTTTGCTGTGACGGAGTCCCAGAATCCAATGCCTGGTCTCCACATTTTGTTCAACTTTAATGTAACATTTAATGAGGAATAAAGGAAGCATTTTAAATAAAACTTGCAATCCTTAGCATGTGGTCAAATAACTGCTTTGGCATGCAAGCGGTGCAGAACAATTGTCAGTTTCAAGGCCTTCTACAACCATTGAGGTTCTATGCTTATTTATTGTACCGATTTAAGATTTTTTTAAAAAAAAGAATTATACGGTAGAGACATACTGTATTTTGGGTATACGACTGTATTTCTCAATGTCAGCAACTTTAAGAAGCATAGACTACAATTCCTAGGATTAAGAGCCTCGGTGGCACAGTGGTTAGAGTGCAGTACTGCAGGCTACTTCTGCTGACTGCTGACTGCCAGCAGTTTGGCAGTTCGAATCTCACCAGGCTCAAGGTTGACTCAGCCTTCCATCCTTCCGAAGTGGGTAAAATGAGGACCCAGATTGTTGGGGGCAATAGGCTGACTCTGTAAACTGCTTAGAGAGGGCTGTAAAGCACTGTAAAGCGGTATATAAGTCAAGGTGCTATTGCTATTCCTATTCTCCAACCAGCATGCTGGCTCTGGAATTCTGGGAGTTGAGGTCTTCACTTCAAGTAGCTGAGGTTGAGAAACAATGGCATACCTTGATAGGATCCTCTATTCTATGAATGAGTCCTTCTGCTTTACAAGTCACTTTGATACAATAAGGTGCATTGCTTCATGGGACAAAGCACTGGAGAAGCATTCCTTTTGACATTCTGCCTTAAATCACCAGAAGTGACTTGCATTCACGTGCAAAACACATGTACTGTACAATCCACTTTCACTGACCAACTGCACAGATACGACGTTTTGCAGTACAACCTATGAAGAACGGTTGCAGGAATTGGGCATGGCTAGTCTAGAGAAAAGAAGAACCAGGGGTGACATGATAGCAGTGTTCCAGTATTGCAAAGGAACAAAGAAGAGGGAGTCACCTTATTTTCCAAGGTACCAGAAGGCAAGACAAGAAATGATGGGTGGAAATGAGAAGCAACCTAGAACCAAGGAGGAATTTCCTAACAATGAAAACAATTAACCAGTGGAATAGCTTGCCTTCAGTTGTGGGTGCTTCATCACTGGAGGTTTGTAAGAAGAGACTGGACAGCCATTTGTCTAAAATGGTATAAGGTCTCCTGCTTCAGCAGGGAGTTGGATTAGAGACCTCCAAGGTCCTGTCCTGTCCTGTCCTGTCCTGTCCTGTCCTATCCTATCCTATCCTATCCTATCCTATCCTATCCTATCCTATCCTATCCTATCCCATCCCATCCCATCCCATCCCATCCCATTTCTTCACCTGTAGAGGATACATTAGGCTTTGTCAAATTGAAGCACTCCTTCAGAGCCCTGCATAATGGATTATATGTGGCTTTTCACACATAATTGGTCTGTGGTTCCTATCATCTGACATAACTGATGATAATGATTAGCACCAGAAATAGGTTGCACAATGATGAGCAGTGCCATTCCTTAATTGATCCTTACCAAGATGCATGGCCACATCTAGATAGGTAACTTTATGGAAGATTCTCTATAAAGAGCCTATTCTCAAGTTAGCTTTTATGGCAACAGCAATAAAATAAAATAATTCAGTAAATAAATAATTTAATATAGAGATATAGTTTTAGAAGGGGTTCTAAGAGTTCTGATTGCAGAATAAAGCTTTTGTGTCTTCTGATATCAGCTGCTGGAAGCAGTCAGCCAGAGTTATCTCTACACACAAACCCACACATCTGTCTGGCTGCTGATGGAAATAGGATGCTAAGCAGACACTGCATGACCCTAATAAGTTACTCACTTATAAAAGTTTACTCAAAACAGATCTCCATTGATTTCAATGGAGCTACTATCAAGCAAATATCAATTAAACTCAGAATGATACGCGAATTATTTCTATTACTATAGAAATAGATCAGTAACAAGAAACATAGTTTATTTTAAAACTAAGTTTAACTAAACATTATAATGACCCTCCAGCATATCATATAGTATGAACACTATAATAAGTTATGGTCCGTAGATTCCAAACAATAATCAGTTAATATTTGTTCATAAACAAAACAATGTGATTTTAATGACATATGGAAAACGTCATATGTTTCCTCTGTCATCTTTTTTTAAGACCAAGAAGGGAGAGGGATTGATATATATGGCATTTTTACTCAGAATCATTGGCTTTTAATCCTCTTTTAAATCTAAGTTTCTCTCAGACACATTTGATGACCAGATAAATCTTTATTAATCAATGGGTGGAATTCTTGCACAATATTTTCTTTGCCGCTAAGATTTTATGTATGAGAAAGAATCTCAGTTTTGCAATGGCTCCATTTAGGGCACAAAACAACTTTTGCACTTGGAAGAAACTAAAATGGAATTTTGAATGAAAACTTTGGACTGTATTATAGGCAATGATCTTGGTATCATGATAAATAATTTCTTAAATTGTATGTACCATTAAAATTACTGCATTTGACAGTGAATGCTGTTCAATCTGATAACTTCACATTCAAATACTGAATGACAAACAGATTTATATCACAATTTTTGTGCTGTGGGTTGAAGAAACCAAGCTCAGAGGACAGATAGCTGATAAGAACAGTAAAGGCTGAAATTTTGTTTCTAAATAAGCATTATAAATCAATGTGTTAACCAAAGGGTTACATGACTTTTTTCTCCAATGCCTGTTTTTCTTAATAGTAAAAACAAAAGAAAACACAAAAGAGAAAATATTTTCTAATTTTTTGGCTTTATATTCATTGTAAAGATCATTGTGAATGCTACTTATACTGTAAATGGGTCATAAATGTACGGAATTTGATGCTTAAAAAGAGAAAAGAAGACTTTGGTTTGGGTAGATATGGGGTTGTCAGACAAAGATTTAAAGATACTGTTGGCATGCAAATTCCACTTACTGTGACTTTTTTTCAATCCACTGATACAGTTGAAATCCTCAGCGCTGAAAGATTCATTACAGAGTCCTAGTATTTGGCTTAACGGATTCCAGAAAACATCTGTATATTTCAGACCGACTTATATTTTTTAAAAGGTAAAAAGCTTCCAGAATTGACCTCATAGAATGGCAAGGGAGGTAGAAATAGTCAAAATTACTTCTCTGAATACTCTGGCTGTGTATACAAAAAGGGAGGGAAGAGAAGAAGGGGGAACCCACCCAGAATCCGTCTCAGCAACCACCAGCATAAAGTTCAGATTTCATAGCTGAGATCATTGCTCTATTCTCAGCACTTTTGCTCTAGATGTGTGATTCTGACCAAAACATATTCTGCAGCTGGAAGGAGCCTTAACTAAATGGAATTTAACCAACCTTTCCCTTGTTACTTTTGTCTACTAAATGTAGGCTGATGTTTTGTGAGACGGGGCCTCTGAGAAGTAGGTCCAGATTGCTTGAAAAGTATTTCCTGCTGTTGAGTTGTAGGCATGTGAAAGTGTGTACATGTGGGTGTGTGAAAGAGAGAGAGAGAGAGAAAGAGAGAGAGAGAGGGAGGGAGGGAGGGAGGAAGAGAGAGAGGGGGGAGAGGGAGGGAGGGAGGGAGGGGGGAGAGGAAAATGTGATTACACATTAAAAGCCTGATTTATGGTATTTATTGCAGGATTTCCTAATTTCCCAAATTTTCTAAATGTGCCATTTCATGAACACAGACACATATCGAGAACGCTAATTTCCTTGACTCTTTTCCTTAATGCAAACAGAATGCTGACAGAACCATGCTACACACACAGCAAACTTTTAAAAGCAATTTAGTACACCCAGCAAAGAATGAGAGAGTCAAGAAAGAAGTAAAATAAATAATAAAAATAAAAAAGAATAGAAAATAGTTAAAGCTTAGGCAGATAAATTTCAGTGACAACGTTCTAATCAACGAACTGACAAAAACGAAGAAAAATGACAGAAAGAACAACAAAAAGTGGCATTAAAATTAGTTGCAGTTCATATGTGAACGTACCACGTTACCTCTATGGAGAATCCTCCAAACTCTGGGAAAGCACATAGATAGACTCCATCTTGTCACATTTCAATTCAGTTGACATAAAGCACTTGTAATTCCTCTTTTGCAATCTGACAGAGGACTTGAATCATATCTCTGAGGCTGCCCACCGCAACTACATCCTCCATTCTATACAGATTTGGTGAAACTATCTGCTGTTTATCTTTTCTGCTTCTTCTGCCTCCTCACAACGATTTCCTCTTAGTTGCTCCAGCCTGGGAACTCAGATTGCCATTTGGTTTTGATTAAAACCAGACAGACAGCTCTGTCAAAATTTGAGAGTAAGTTAATGGAAAGCACTGGCATGGTTTTAATTAGAGTATCAATTAATAATAAATGTTAACTATTTACATGGCACACACTATCAGGAAGAACTCTTGTCGTTTCTAAAGAGAAGAATGCCGTAATTGGGGAGGGGGGTTTAACTAGTTAACCTGTTTGTTTGTTTGTTTCAATTTAATACAATGCACCAAAGAAAGGAGCTTTCTTATGAATGCCAAACATAGGACAGACCCGCATTTGTGGAAAAGTGTTAATACCAAGTCCTGTAAAATTGTTGAAGCTACAGGAAATATACATTTTGTATACTCGCTTGGGAAGTATTGAAATGCATGGAAGGTAAAGGTAAAGGTAAAGGTTCCCCTCACACATATGTGCTAGTTGTTCCTGACTCTAGGGGACAATTCTCATCTCTGTTTCAAAGCCAAAGAGCCAGTGTTGTCCGAAGACGTCTCCGTGGTCATGTGGCCAGCATGACTAAATGCCAAAGGCGCACGGAACTCTGTTACCTTCCCACCAAAGGTGGTCCCTATTTTTCTACTTGCATTTTTAATGTGCTTTCGAACTGCTAGGTTGGCAGAAGCTGGGACAAGTAACGGGAGCTCACCCTATTACACGGCACTAGGGATTCGAACAGCTGAACTGCCAACCTTTCGATTGACAAGCTCAGCATCTTAGCTACTGAGTCACCGCGTCCCTGTAGGATGCATGGAAGGTATTGCCCCACAATTATTGTGGTTGCTGTTCTAAGCAGACCTACTGGTTATAATCAGCCATTAAGGATTGGAAGGAGGCAGAAGGAACTCATTTCATTGTAGAATGAAAAAAGCATTAGGTTACAGAGGACCTCACTCTCAATTGCAAATTATAAGATCCTAGTGGTACACCTTCTCCTTCTTCTTTGGAAGAACTGGAACAGGATGCAAGTAACCAAAAATAGCCAAGGAATTGCGCCTTATATAAAAAATTGAACCAGATTGGTAAGAGCGAGGAATACTAATAGTTAGAATAGAATAACAGACTTGGAAGGGAACTTGGAGGTCTTCTAGTCTAACCCCCTGCTAAGGCAGGAAACCCTACACCACTTCAGACAAATGGTTATCCAACATCTTCCTAAAAACTTTCAGTGTTGGAGCATTCATAACTCCTGGAGGCAAGTTGTTCCACTGATTAATTGTTCTAACTGTCAGGAAATTTCTCCTTAGTTCTAAGTTGCTTCTCTCCTTAATTAGTTTCCACCCATTGCTTCTCCTGCCCTCAAATGCTTTGGAGAATAGCTTGACTCCCTCTTCTTTTTGGCAGCCCCTGAGATATTGGAACACTGCTATCATGTTACCCCTAGTCTTTCTTTTCATTAAACTAGACATACCCAATTGCAGCAACCATTCTTCATATGTTTTAGCCTCCAGTCCCCTAATCATCTTTGTTGCTCTTCTCTGCACTCCTTCTAGAGTCTCCACATCTTTTTTACATCGTGGCAACCAAAACTGAATGCAGTATTCCAAATGTTGCCTTACCAATGCATTATAAAGTGGTATTAACACTTCACTTGATCTTGATTCTATCCCTTCAACAACAACTGCTCCCCATTCATGTCATACAATACAGGACCTTTTATCTTGAATATGTCTTGGGCTCAGGCCCCAAAGTAGGTATTGAACAGATAACTTGAAAGCTATTAGGTAGAAATGCAGCTTGTGTGTTTCACTTTAGTTTTTGTAGAAGAATAGACTCCTGGCTAAATACGTGGGCAGTTGCTTCTGGCAGGGATGACGCATAGGAAAACGGTGTGACCACAAACTTTACAAATTCCATCTTATTTTCTGGGTGCAATAATTTAGATAATTCTTTGTGTCTATAATTGGAGGGGATCGTGGATACGTTCCCAGTGAGTGTGATTTGTAAAGTGTTGGAAGAAATCTCCTTCTAGGTTCTGCTCCAAGTGGGGAAAAAGACACTGGAAATATGGAGACTGCTTGGAAAGATGGTTTAATGGTGGACAGGATCACATGGCTTGAGTTCCTGAACAGAAAAGGGGCAGATACAGTAAATCCTTGGGTTTTTATGCTCTCTCTGGCTCTGCATTTCTTGGGGCCCCAAAAGAGTATCCTGATTGGTTGTCAGACTCCCAGGGGGTTGGGGTCTTAGCTAGCCTTGCTGTCTGATGGTCACATGTGCTTCCCAGGTCACATGCTTCCCAGGTCACATGTGGTGAGTTTCGTTGCTAGATGGGGCCCATTGTGTTAGTTTCTGTTGCTATTGTGTTGCAAATGTCCTTTGACAAAGGATTGGGTTTCTGCCTCTGGCCCATTAACAAAGGGTGGGGGGCAGGAAGGTGGGAGCTGCTTTGTCTGTAAAATATGCTTCTCCATTTCTCATCCAGGGAAATATAATATTCTGCCTTTTTAATATTTCCCAAAATATTTCACTCTTCCAGGAAAGGGGTGGGTGCTAACTTCCTACAAAAGAGTGGGGGAGGGTCTTTATGAGGGAATTCAGCAGGGGAGGAGGACACTGCTTACTCATATCCAAGCTTAAGTACCAAATTAGGGTTAACTACTGGTAAGGAAGCCAGGATAACTAGGTCCAGGAGAACAATAGGGTAGGAAATTGGCCTGTGTTCCTTTCCAGTTTACAAGAGCTTCAGAGACATTTAGTTGGCGACTGTGGAAGCAAACTTTTGGAATAAGCTGGATCTTGGTCTGACCCAGCAGCGTTGTTCTTATGTTCTTAGGACCAAGTCCAGCATTCAGTTCACAAAAGAGCTGTGGGGTCTAGTATTTGAAATGTCAGTCTCCAGGAGGAAATATTTATGGTGAGACTGAAAATTGCTCTACCAGGGCAATTCAAAGCCACTGTGAGAAGCGTTTGCCAGAATAATTTCAGCTCAGTGAATTCAGCAGAGTAATTAGCCTAATCTAATAGTTTGTTCTGCTGAGGGGAAAAAAAAGAGAGAGGTAGTTTTAGTTTGTAGAGAAAGACAATAATGATTTAATTGCTGAAGCCACATCTTTACCTAAGAGTGAAGCAAAGTTTCTGTGAAGGTCAGACCTTAAATAGGAAGCTCTCTCTTTGAAAGCTGCCAGAGTTTCATTTCCAGCTGAGTTAAGCAATAATGAACACAGTCGCCCCAAAATTAATAGATATGTTAGTTTAATGCTAACAGGGGGGAAACACCAGAGGGCAGGACAAGAGACAATGCTTGGAAACTGATCGAAGAGAAAAGCAAACTGGAATTAAGGAGAAACTTCCTAACAGTAAGGAGAATTAACCAGTGGAACCAGCTTGCCTTCAGAAATCGTGGGTGCTCCCATCATTGGTGGTTTTTAAGAAGAGACTGGACAGTCTCTTGTCTGAGATTGTATTGGGTCTTCTCCTGCTTGAGCAGGGGGCTGGACTAGAAGATCTCCAAGGTGCCTTCCTATTTCTATTATTTCTATTCCAATTAGAATAGAATAGAATAGAATAGAATAGAATAGAATAGAATAGAATTTTCTATTGGCCAAGTGTGATTGGACACACAAGGAATTTGTCTTGGTGCATATGCTCTCAGTGTACATAAAAGAAAAGATACGTTCATCAAGAATCATAAGGTACAACACTTAATGATAGTCATTGAATACAGATATTCTATTCCAGGGGTGGGCAAATATGGCCCCTTTATGACCTGTGGACTTCAACTCCCAGAATTCCTGAGCCAACTTGGCTGTCTCAGGAATTCTGGGAGTTGAAGTCCACAGGTTGTAAAAGGGCCACAGTTGCCCACCCCTATTCTATTCTATTCTATTCTATTCTATTCTATTCTATTCTATTCTATTCTAGTCTAGTCTAGTCTAGTCTAGTCTAGTCTAGTCTA